AGCACTCGTTACTGACCGCCTTTTTGATTACTGCCATCCTAGTGGTTGTAAAGTTGTATCTCATTGTGGCTTTGCTTTGTATTTCCTGATGGCTACTGATGTTGAGCCGCTTTTCATGTATTTATTGACCATTTTTATATCTTCTTCGGAGAAATGTCTACTTAGATTCTTTGCCCATGTTTTAAAATTAGGTTATTGGTCTTTTTATTGTTAAATTGCAAGAGTTCCTTATATATTCTGGATACTAAAACCTTGTCAGATATATAAATTCCAAGTATTTTCTCCTAGTTTGTGAAATGTATTTTCACTTTCTTGATTTATTGAAATAACCTTTGATGATCAAAAGTATTTAACATTGTTGAAGTCCAATTTCTTTTTGTTGTTGTTTGCACTTTTAGTGTCATATCTAATAATCCATTGTCAATATGCTAATGCAGGGCCATGAAGATTTACACTTACGTATTTTTCAGAGAGATTTTACAGTTTTAGCTCTTACATTTAGGTCTTTGATCCTTTTGAACTAATTTTTGTATATGGTGCAGGTGAGGTCCAAATTCATATTTTTGCATGTGGATTTCCAGTTGTTTCTGCACCATTTGTTGAAGACTTTTTTCCCCATTGAATGATCTTGGTGCTCTTATTTACAATCAATTGAGCATAGATGTATGGGATTATTTCTGGACTCTGAATTCTATTTCATTGATCTGTGGGTCTATCCTATGCTAGCATGACGCTATCTTGATGACTGTAGCTTTGCAGTAAATTGTGCAATTGGAAAGTATGAGTCCTACAACTTTGTTCTTTCTTTTCACGACTGGCTATTCTGGGTCCTTTCATTTCATATTAATTTTAGCATCATATTGTCAATTTCTGCAAATATGGCAGTTGGAATTTTGACAGGAATTGTGTTGAATCTATACGATGGTTTGGGAACTTAATATTTAGTCTTACAGTCCATGAACATGAGATGTCTTTTCATTTATTTAAGTCTTTAATTATTTTTAATAATATTTTTTTGTTTTCAAGGTATAAGTCTTGAACTTCTTTGTTAAACTGATTTCTTAAGTATTTTATTATTTTTGATGCTATTGCAAATGGTAATAGAGACAAATTTATTATGTTATTATTTTTTAAATAAAATGATATTTGTTGGAGAGGAGCTAATGTAATTTATATGTATACGTATATGTACGTATATAATTTAATATGCTGACTGCGTCAGGGAAGAAAAGACTCAACTCCCTTTTACTTCATGTTGCTGAGCTGAACTCTAGATTTCCGAGATTATAAATTACTTTGAAATATATGTAATCAGTAGGTTAATTTGTGCATCCCTTTGTCTCCAGGTACAAGTAGATATGCTTACCCTCTCTCACTTTAGGAAGATATTGTAGAGGATTTCAGCTGGATCAGAGGAGACCTGGGTGATTTAGGCAATCCATGCAAGCCCTCCCATCCTCAGATGACTAGGCGTTGAGTGCAGGTTTATTTTCTGTACATCTCATAGGGTTGTGAGATCCCAACAGACAGAAAAGCTTATGGCAGCCACACACAGACACTCTGTCCAGATAGAACCCAGGGCTGTTGGAGGAAGGGGAAAGAAAACAGTTCCCTGAGCAGCTAAGATAGAAGTTTCAAATCTGCACAAGTTCATGCCCTGTCCTCAGGGAAAGTGCATGACCTCCACTTTGCACCTCTGCAGTCTTACTTTCCCCACACTCACTGAAGTTTCTTCCTTTTGATTTCAGTCACATTGCATGAGGAGGACGTCTGCCTAAGAGGTTATTCTGCCACAGGGGCAGATGCTGAGTGGAGCGAGATTGTCTCCAGTGAGATGGTTTGGTGTGGGCTGCCAGCACTGGGAGGTGTGAAGAGGTGTCCCCAGAGAGGAGCATGCTGATGTGGGCTGTTGGAGCCATCCACACAGGGAGGCAGCCCAGCGTGGCATGCGAGACACATAGAAAAGCAAGGAAAACTGTCTGGCAGAGGGTGTCAGAGCCTAAGCAGGGTGAGCCGGGTGTGTACACAGTGGAGTGTCCTGGCATGGGCTGTCAGAATTCAGCAGTGATTGCAGCAACGTTAGCGCTAAGAGAAACAAACAACTGTTTGGTAGGAGAAATATTCTATTAATGACATTTTTTATATTTGCTGGTGCAATGTGCTAATAAACTGTAGATTGTTCTAAAAATCATCTATAGATAATGTGCTCCTTTATTGCCTGCATCCCAAGTGGACAGCTCCCTCTGGCGGCCTCTGGTGTAAGTCCATATTGATACAAATAAAAAAATGAAAAGGGAAAGTTTGATAAGAAATGGGATCTTTACATAGTTCCAAAGTGCCTCCCCTCAAAATAGTTATTAATTAAAAGAGAAAAAGAATAAATTTTTGGTGGAGAAGCCCTTTATCAAATAATCAGTGTGAACATTATCAGTACTGGGGACAAATTAAAATCATGTAACACCTGATAGAATGTGATGAGAGGAACTCTGTATAATTTTTGTGTCATTTCTGTCAAAGCTGAAGAATCTGATTCTAATCATGAGGGAATACAACAGAAAAAACCAAGTTGAGAGACATTTTTCACAATAACTAACCTGTGATCTCCAAACAGTGTTAAGGTCATCAAAGTTAAGGAAAGACTGAGGAACTGTCTTGGATTTAAGAAAAGTAAAAAGAACAAAGATAAATGGGGCACATGATCTTCAACTGGACCCTTTTGCTATAAGGAACATTATTGGGATAATTGGTGAATTTTTCATAGGGCCTGATGGTTATTTGGAGTTATTGTGCTAGTGTTAATTTCTTGATTTTGATGGTTATATTTTGGTTACATAGGAAAACGTCTTTGCATAAAATACGCATTAAAGTATTGGAGTGATGGGGTATCATATTGGCAACCTACTCACAGATTTAGAAAAAAAATTGTACTATACCTGCAACTTTTCTACAAGTTTGATATTGTTTCAAAATAATAAAAAGGAGACGAAAACTGAGGTTCAAAAAGTTATATAAGGGCCGACTCTGTGGCTTACTCGGGAGAGTGCGGCTCTGGGAGCGCCAAGGCTGCGGGTTCGGATCCTATATAGGGATGGCCGGTGTGCTCACTGGCTGAACGCGGTGCGGGTAACACCAAGCCAAGGGTTGAGATCCCCTTACTGGTCACACACACACATACACACACACACACACACACACACACACACACACACACACACAAAGTTATATAACCTGACCAGGGCCACATGGATAGTAAGTGGCAGCTCCAGATTGAATCTCAGATGTGTCTGCCTCCTACAGCCACACCCTTTCCGACCAACCACACGGTGCTGGACATGCCAGCTGACCCCTGTCCCTGTTCTGTCACCTCCAGAACAGTCCTTCGTCTCTCCAGCCGAGCTGAGGTCCTCTCTAATGGAGCTGCTTTTCACCTACCACTGCCCAGGCACCTCCTTCCCACGCCTGGCGCTCCAGGCAGGCCCTGCCTGGCCTCCTTCCCGTGGGCGTGCGCTTCCGTCAGCTGAGCTCCCACTCCCGAGAAGATCTCCATGCTCCTCGACGATCTCAAGATTTTTCAAACCACTTACAAGTAAGCACGGAGATTTTTTCTTGTCTTGGTTCTCCCTTGTTATCATCTTAATATTGGAGATTTTCTACAAATCTAGTGGCTCGAATAGGGGCTCTCATCAATTAGGGCTTCATCTATCATTCAACCACTTAAAATAATTCCCATTGCAAATTAGCAGACGTCACCCATGGCCAAAGACAGAAACTGCTACTCTTCTGTGACCTTCCAGGCACAGCTGAACCTGCCGAGGCAAAGAGGAAGTGGAACATGCCATGTGTTTACCCATCACTCTGCCCATGTGCCCACCGACTCAACCGCAGGCCAGGAGGCAGGGGCTGGGAGGCCGAGGGGCTCGATGGTGAGTCGGGTCCTAAGACAGACAGTTTTCCCTGGCTCAACCTGACCACCCTCAGCCTGAGCCACAGCCTCTGCCCCATGCGGAATTACACCAGAAACCCAATGGCCCTGCCTTGGTTCCTGCATGAGGGCTGTCATCTTTCAGTGCTAAGGAAGCTTGTTAGGGGGAGAGTGGCTGACCTCAGCTACTGAAAGAATTCCCTTCTCACAAACCCGGAGTTTCTCTTTAGCACATTCTGTGCTCACTTCAAGGGTCCTAAGTGCTCCTCCGGCCTGAGTGCTCTGTGGGGAAGGGCGCTGGGTAAACAGGGCAGCTGTCCTGCCCGGCCCTCCCTGCAGCATCAACCCTTGTGATGGGGCCTCTCAGGGGTGGGGAGGAAACACATCTCTATAAAAACGGTGCTGTCCACCTCTCCACTCCGATTTGGAGGCAGAGATCCACGTAGTCTGGAGGCTCTGCGTGTGGGTGACTTTAATCCCATGCCCCACGTCTTCTCCAGTGTGTGGGCTGCAGGCAGTGAGAATCGGCCCAGACTGAGAAGGAGGGGGTCTCCCCATGCCCCGCCAGAAGGTGTTGCACAGAATCGTGATGCTGAGTGCAGGCAGATGGGCTTGCAAGCAGCCTTATACTTCACTGTGTTCCTCGGCAAGGTCCATTCCCACCAGAGGCTCAGCAGCGCCTGCAGGGGGGAGTGAGGGACGAGCCCCCCAAGGAGAAGAGGGGAGGGAACTCCCCATCACTGACCACCACTGAAAAGGGCACGGGGAGGGCCACGGGCCGTGGGCCCTGGTCAGCTCTGTTCATCCTCAGGTCCATGACCCCATAGAACCCAAAAAGAGGGTAACTGAGAGTGTGCGGGACAGGTGAAGTGAGTCCGTGGTGAGTGACCACATTCTTCCTCCTAACAACCTGGGAGGGACAGGTCAGGATTGTCTCCAGAGCACAGAAGATTCAGCTGAAGGTGAAGTGAGTTCCCTGGGGTCACACAGTGGGTGACTAACAGAGAAGAGGCTCCATCAGAGCACAGGCCCCTGCCTCTCCAGTGCTCTTTACTCCCGGGTGGGGGTCTCTCCACAGGGCTTCCAGCTTATCTAGATGAGGAGCTCCAAAGCACATTCCACAACTTCAGACATCAAATCCGGCGGTCCATGGGAGGTAAGGGGATCCCCTGGGGCCTCAAAGAGGAGGAGCCCCCCATAAGTTGTCCTCACTGTCAGCACCAGCCTCCTGAACCTAGACACCTGACAAGGGCCGACGTTCAGGTCTTGGGGAAGGAATAATGCTGTCCCTTTCTGATGTCTTTGAATGGGCCAGAGGAGACAGAAATAGACATGAATTCGCTCCCAGGGTCTTAGGAAAGCAGGTTATCTGCCTATCTTGCTTCCTATTGAATCCCAGGAAATTGCACCATTTCTGGCAATAAATAATTGTTAAATGGGGGAATGGATAAGTGGATAAGAGCACATAGGGAAATTTAGAAAACTGGAATTGAAAGAGGGAGGGAAGACACAGAGAGAGGCAGAGATGAAAAGACTGGAGACAATCTAAAGGCAGACAGACTAAGAGACAAAGAAGTTGGTGGCTTGATTCAGACTTCTCTGCCCTTAGTTCTCAGACTGCAGGGGTCCATGCTGGTAGTGGGGGAGAAGATCCTCTCTACCAATGGGCAGTCGGTCGATTTTGATGCCATTAGAGAGTCATGTGCCAGAGCAGGCGGCCACATGGCTGTCCCGAGGAGTCCGGAGGAGTACGTGGCCATTGCAAGCATTGTGGTGAAGTACAACACTTACGCCTACCTGGGCCTGACGAGGGCCCCACCCCTGGGAACTTCCACTACCTGGACGGGGCCCCCGTGAACTACACCAAATGGTACCCAGGGGAGCCCAGGGGCTGCGGCAAAGAGAAGTGCGTGGAGATGTCCACAGATGGGCAGTGGGGCGGCAAGAACGGCCTGCAGCACCGACCGGCCATCTGCAAGTTTTGAGCAGATACCTAGGCCACAAGATAGGCGGGACTCCGACTTGCCTTTCACCCTCCATCCTGAGGATCCACTTGGTCTACAGTAAGCTGCAACTCCATTTCAGCAAAATATATTTGTGGCTGTTAGAGTTGGAGGTGTCATCAGTCACTTCATCCCTCAGATGGGCTCTGACTCTCCGCATCATCTTGAATCCGTCTCAACCCTTGGACCCCCAATCGGCACAGCACTCAAGGTGGCACTCCCAAACTTGGCCTGTGGCATGAGGTAGAGACCTCCTTCTTCCTAACTGTGTCCAGTTCCTTCATTTGCAGATAGCAACAGTGAAGTCCTGGAAGGGAAAGACCCTCCGAAATCACACAGAGTGCCTGCCTCCTGCCCCCCTATGCTTTTCCCCTGCAGCCCACCCCCTGCCCAGTGCCACCAAGATCTAGCAGTGCTGGTCAAACACAATGATAGAGATAGGCAGACTTCTGGGAAATTCCAAATGTGTGGAGCTAAGGACACATTTGGGATTATCTGGCACCCTGAGGTCCCTGAGGCATGCCTGGTGAGGTTTTCTATGAGGTCAGCTGGTAGGTGGTGCCCCTGCATGGCAGTGGCCAACCCAACACTAGTGATTGGCAAGTACGATCACCTTGACTTTTTTGAATGCCAACTCAGCCCCCTGACCTAAGAACAGCCAGCCCAGGTATCTAGGGAAGAGCCCCAACCCCAGACCTAACCCAGGTAACTTCCTGATAATGGACGTATCCCCAGACCACTCCAGACCTCAGTGAGGTGTTCACACTACTCACCACACTACTGGTTCTGTTTTCCCCTTTCATTAATTCATTCAATTAGGTATTTTATTACAATCAACTCTGTGCCAGGTCTTAGGCTGTGTCTTGGGGTGGGCAACGTACCCAGTAACTCAGGGATATTCGCTTTCCCCGAGCCCATTTCTTCATCTGTGAAATGGGGACAAAATACTTGTTGCCATTACAATTATGACCATCCCTCCAACTACCAAAATTACTACCATAACTAGCACCACAAACAGAGGCTATTTACTGAGCACATATTTTGTACAAAGTACCTTGACAAGCACTTCTAATGCATATTATTAAATATTATTTAATCTTTACACAGTGCCTTTGGGACCAGTATTATTCTCTTCATTTTTATATGAGGACACTGAAACTTAGACAAATAAAGTGTTTTGAGTTTTATTACACAGACCAAGGGCAGAGGGTGGATTCAAATCAACCTACCTGGACCTGAAACTCGTGTTCATAACCACCTCAACCCTTGAGCTGAGCAGAGATGATTTAGTATAATAAATCATGAATGTGTTAACATGAGTTTCCATTGCTTTGGTTCAAAGAAACATCACATTTCCATAGTTTTATAAATCAAATTAACTTTGGCTCTGACCCCCACCTGCCTGAAGAATGGAGAATTTAATCTCAGCATGGGCTTTCTTTGTCGAGGAGCAACTTGCTCTCCTGCCTCAGGTTGTACGGGGGGATGGGGAGCTACAGAAAACATTTAGAAGAACACATGGGCCTCAGGATTGATCGCTGGTCTAAGTCCACACTGTCTTTGGGGGTGGTGAGAGCATGCCTTCCGTTCTCCCCTCAGCCACCTGGGTGTTTTTTGCAGGGGCTCAGGCCCAGGCCTCTGGCAGCCACCCCAGTCCTAGGTCTGCAAGGAATGGGACCTGCCCCCACACCCCCAGGGCTAAATGGGAATGGAACTATGTCCCTATTTGCTTGACGAAGAAACTACATATGTGTCCTGCCTTCAGAAAAGCTCTGACTACCCCCATTCTCGCACCTCCGAATGCTCTCCCTCACTGCTTTTCTCGGGCAAAAGGAAGCTCTGGATCAAAACGCACCAATCCAGATGGAAATGAGGGGGGTCGATTTCACATTCTTCCACGAATGTTAGGTTTTAATCTGATCACTGTAGCACATGTGCTTAGGACCCAGCACACAAATTTTGAACCTTCACCAAAATTTTAAAAAGCAAGGAGCAGAAGTATATATTCCTTATGTTATAAATCAATAGTCTAAGCCTCTGAAAGTTGATTATCTTTTCATTTATTATTAGGTTTATTTTAACTTACTTTATAATTTTGTTTGCTATTGTTACCATTTTTTTAAATCACATTTTTATTTAATTATTGCTGGTTTGTAGGAAAACTATTGATTTATTTTTTATTTGTCTTATACCCAATCATGTTTTTGGATTCTTGTTTTTCCCTTAATACTTCTATGTAATTGATTCTTTTTTTTTTTTTTGACTGGTAAGGGGATGCAACCATCGGCACGGTGCGGTCCCCACCACGCTCAGCCAGTGAGCGCACTGGCCATCCCTATATAGCATCCGAACCTGCGGCCTTGGCACTCCCAGCGCCGTACTCTCCCGAGTGAGCCACAGGGCCGGCCCTGTAATTGATTCTTTTATACTTTATAAATATACAATTGTATTTGCAAATGGAAATTTTGCCTGTTCCTTTCTGATATTTATGTATTCTCAATTCTTATCTTTTTACCGGGGCCAGTAGCCCCTACACATTGTTGAAGAGACTCAATGAATGTGTAATGGGAACACATCCAATATTTCACCATTGAAAATGTTGCTTGTTTTAGGTTTCTGAAAGAGCCCTTGTATCAAGGTCTCTTTTAACTAGTTTGCTAAGACTTATTTTAATCATGAATGGGTGTTAAACTTTATCAGATGATTTTGGGGCATTTCTTTGAGTCTGTTAACATCAAGAGGGTGTCACGGGTGAGTGGAGCCATTTCCCATTCCTGGGTATTAGCATCTAGAGCACACAGCTGAGAACAAGCGTTCTACATGCTTCACCTTTTC